ACACACACATAAGGAGATACATACCTGACATTGCGGAGTCCCCACCAGAGGGAGTAGACATACTTCTCCAACAACAGCCCATGCATAATGGTTTCAATGGCTTCTTCATATATTCCGAAATTGAACTCGTCTGAGCCTGCATGGCAACTATCTTTTGCCACCGTGAGTTCTATCCCTGCACTTCTGGTCTGCTGCAAACAGTCCAGGTTTTTGACATTACACGCCGGGAGTTTGCAGTGCTGACGCCAACAGGTGTCCATCCGCTCCACACTCAACATGTACCATGACGCACCTGCAATCTGTATCACCAAAGCAAAACATAACACATACAAATGTACAATGGCGATGTGACCTTACACCACACTTCAACAAGATTGATTACAAAACAAGTCCAACGTGAGTACCCATGTCGCATGACCTTGCTGCCGTGCAGAGGGGTACAAAATATACATGAAGGCAGACGTGAAGACGCTGACCTAGGGTATGCCTGAGGTTCAGATCTGAAGCAGCTGGCGTCAGAAACCTCAATATATTGCACATAAAGAAACAGTGAGAAACGCAGAAGTGCTAAGTTGGGTGTACTCCAAAACAAAGGGCGACAGACAAGATTACATGTCTTATACCACAGAAACAGCGAGAAGCAGTTGCGGGCATGCTGGGGCCTTCGACACCAGGTCTGGGGGCCTGGACCTCTCTTCGGCAAGCTCCCTCCTGCCTACCCCCTTCAGAAGGGCTTCGACAGCCAAGATAGCATCAGCCATCATGAGGCCTCTGTGTGAGTGAGTCCCCAGACAGGCGTCTGTATGTTTTCTCTGTCCTGAGTTCTTGTGATTCGGTTTGCTTTGTTTCCCATTGCCACATACTCTTTTGCTGTCATACGGTTTTGTCCCAGGCCAGTTGTTTTGTCCTGGTCTAAGTCTTTGTCCAGACAGGCCTAGGTTCATCTTTATCGGACGAACTCTGGCAAATGCCATTCAGCATTTTGGCACAGCTTGTCTGTTTGTGGCCGGGCCTGCGTCCATCCTTTTGTGCCCCGGGCAGGCCCTGTTGCTAAGACAGCAAGAGAGGGCTCGGAGTTTGGTAGGCCTAGTAATTCAGGCTGACCGAGTCGTGAAATCAGACTGCACCCCAAACTTGCTTTCAGCATGCATACACACGGACTGATGGCAGAACCAAACTCTTTCAACTCAGAATCACCAATGAACTTGTACTTAAACTCAGTCCAAGTCAACTGTACAACTTGCGGCTATGGCTGTGGAACACTGTATCCAGCACCAGCCTCACTCTCCCTCATGCACGCATGTACGAGGATTTACCCTGAATGCCCACGCTACTCATACGCACACACTCTGTACACTCTGTCTGTGCCCGCATATGGGCGGCTGTGGCCACCGTCGTCTTCCTCCTCCTAGCTACGGCCATCGTCTCCTTCCTCCTGGTCAGCTATGGTCGTCGTCTTCCTCACTGCCCACTTCAGCTCCGGGCACCTGCAGACCTCCACGCACAAGTCACCAAGACAGTGCTTCCGCATGGCTTACAGGCAAATGAATGAATTGGCCGGTCACTGCTCCTTTATTTATACTTCAGCTGATGCCCTGCCCTGCTCCCAAACGTGTGGGCCTGCTGGGCCAAAACGTGTGTAGTGCCTTCTGGAATGTGCAGCCCTTCACCACTTGCCCACTTGCCTGATACTTGCTGACTGACAGGCCTACGACCTTCTAGACTCTACCACCACTGCCTACGGACTGGGCTGACCCTTAGACCTTCAAAGAGACAGGAAGAGATTTCCAGACGGGCCCTAAGTAAGTTTAATGGTAACATACTAACCTACTAACACGAAGGTCTGTGGATYRAGTCCTGGCAGCTAACGACCAGACCTACTAACTAACCTACGGGTTTTAGGGACAGGTCACGGGTTCAAAACTCACTCAGAACACGGGGTCAATGTACAGGGTTTAGGTACAGGTCTAGGGATCGAATCTCAGTGTCTGCAACAGTCGGGTCAACTGGGTGAATCTCAGTGTCTGCAACAGTCGGGTCAACTGGGTGAAACCGTTTCAGTAGTACCAAGTAGTTCCATTCATTCGTGTGCCTCCAGGTTGAAAGAGAGTCATAGAGCTGCCTAGCAGTAGAGGAGGTAGAGTAGCACTCAGTAGAGTCAGGAAAGGTTGGGGAGTCCACTCACCTGGTGCCAGCCACTGGAAAAAGCATGACTCAAGGCTCTGCTTTTTCAAACAACAGCTGGTACCATCCTCATGGTGGATTGTTTGAGGCATACCGACAGGGAGGAGACTGAGGCCGCAGAGAGATTGTTATCATTTGGCGCTGCAATCCCTTGGCTATTCCTCTTCTTCTTCTTCTTCTTCTTCTTCTTCTTCTTCTTCTCTTTCTTCTGCATCATCCTAACTCCATTTCCCATCTCACATCTCGTTGCTGTATGATTATAGCAGGGTTGTCTGGATCTGGGTAATATTGTCATTTTGCTGCGTTGTCAGGTCAGTCCATATCTGGTTTGAGTGTTCCTACTCAACATGCTGGTGATCACTGCACCTTGCATTGCCACAGATTCATACTGGGCATGCTACCCTCTCCTCAGACTCCCCCGTCCCTCATTTCCCCAACAATCTCTCAGGAAGATGTCTAGATGGCTCTCTCCACAGCACAGAGAAAATATCCCCACCATAACTAGAAATGTCAGCAATCATTCCTACAATCATGTGGCTACGCACGCACAAACTCGAAAAAAGAAAAACATGTTTATGCTCTCTCTCTCTCTCTCTCTCTCTCCAAAGGTCGGGCAGATGCAGGGCACCGTTTGGAAATGAGGCGGTGGAGTTGGGGCGGTGGAGATGATGTGGGTGGGCAGGGGGAGACGGTGGAGGTGGCAGGCGGAGGGGCGGAGGACAGAGGTCGGGCATGTCAAGTGAAGGGAGCACGGCATGAGGAAGGAGGCTGAGCATGTCAGGCCGAAGGTGGCAGGATGGATGGGCGGGTGATGTCAGAAGGTGTCAGGCGCAGGGAGGACGGGCGAGCGAATGGTGGAAGGGAGGACAGGCCGGATAGAGGGAGGAATTGGGAAGGGATGGAAGAGGTCGGGTGGAGGTAGGGAGTGCTGCAGCAGTCCGTGCAAGTTCCCCAAGGAGGGAGGGCACAGGGCTGCTCGACTAACGGCAGGAATAGGGCAGCAGCAGCGTGCCAGTCGAGAGGAGGGAGAGCGGGCAGCAACGAGGGAAGACAAGCAGCTGCTTGACAGGCAGCAAGCTACTTGGAAACGTCCGGTGGCAGCTAGGTCCTCACTTCACTACAGAACATTTGTCCCTGGCTCCACCACAGAACACTCTAAATGTATTTGTTTCTTGCATCGCTCTGCAGCCGTGGAAGGATCTTTGTGCAGTGCCACTCAGCAAATACAAAAACGACAAAAATTGAGCCGCACCACTTGCCAAATATGAAGACAACAAAAACTATGTAGCATGACGGCTGTCCATGTTCTAAAGGCAATACATCCTCCATTTTGCACATTTTGCGAGCAGTGCTGCAAGCCCTTTAGCATTCTATTTTCCTTTCTAGGGCAACGGCCTTGAGATATCATCACAGAATTGTGTTAGTGTCTTCTTTTCTGTTTGTTTTTTTTGAGGTTGGAATCATCGTCCCGCCGCTATAGATTTCCCCAATATCTGAATTTCACTGGAGCCAGCGCAGCCAATTAGAGATTAGCGTGGCCCGCTTTTCCAGTCGCATCTTTTGGGGCACCGTCAATAGAAGGCGGGAAGCCCACTGCTTGTCGGACAGCCCGTTTTGCAGATCGGCAGAATCCGGTTGCGATGAGTTGTGACACAGCAGTACACCCAACTGGAGGTACTATAATAGAATGTAGAAGATAACAAATCGAGACATCCTTCAATGCAAGCGGGCACAAGGAGAGAGGAGAGAAGGAGACAGAAGGAGATACAAGGAGTCACTCTCTTGCTGTCAACCAAACAAATGACACCAAATACTTGACCAATCATGGAGACGCTGGGACTATGGCCATGCTGATGAAGAATGAAGATGGTGATGAAGCACTCAAGCCAACACCTACAGAGTAGTCCCTCAAGGGTTATCAAAATAGGACCTGGTTTCTTAAGAACAGTTCCAATGGACTGCCATCGTCAACAACGGCAGCCAGCTCTTATTAGCATGAGGAAGAAGCAGAGGAGAAGCAGAGGAAGAAGCAGAGGAAGAAGCAGAGGAAGAAGCAGAGGAAGAAGCAGAGAAGAAAAAGGAGAAGCGCGAAGAAGAAGCACTCACATGGCTTGCAAGAAGAAGCGCCAGCAGATTCACTCCTATTCCAGCCCATGTGTGTTCAAATACGGTTCCAGATGAGCTTCGCAGCTTTCCAGCCAGGTGCACAATGCAGTAAAGACGGGGGATGTACTGGAAAAGCACCAGTATCCTTAGGATATTCTTCAACCTGTTTGCAGGATTACCAAGGACACGCGGAATCACAAACCACAAGACAATCTATGGCCCAGGAATTCAACATGTACCCCCAGATGAATACCAGCCGTGCAGTACCCACGTACAGCCTCAGAACCTGCTCCCACGACAAGAAAAGGTTATATGGTCAAAGTCACACCCCCACACCCAAGAGCCAAATTCATACCCACCCACATGCAGAGAAAGAAGATCTTAGAACCATACAATAATGCATTACCCCCCGCCACACAAGCAGAGACACGTGCACAAACACACACATATATATATATAGTCAAACAGAGCTGCCCGGCAAACCATAGGCAGAGAGGGAGAAGAGATATATTACCAACGCAAGACCTGACAGCAGGAGAATACAGGAAGAAGCACACATGCATGCACAAGGTCAGGATACTTGCATATGAGCCAAATGCACGCATTTGACATGAAAAAGATTCAAGAAGAGAATGGAAAGAAACATGGAAGAATATTCCAAACTCGAAACAAAAAAAAAAAACAAAAAAAACAAGAGACAGGAGCAGCACCGGGCACTGGCTTGATGGTCACTTGTTACGGTGGAGTGCAAGGAGAGGAAGATCCCTGAGCAGAAGTGGGAGACTCTCTCTCTCTCTCTCTCTCTCTCTCTCTCTCTCTCTCTCTCTCTCTCTCACACACACACACACACACACACACACGTTCGCAACTCCGGAACAAAAGCTTGTGACTGTTCCCTCAGTTTGCAACTCTGGAAGAAAAGTGTGTGACTGTGCGATGCCATTTTGTCAGACATTCAGAGACTCATGAGGATGTTCAACATGACAGTCTGCCCAGGATGCATGCCTGCATGCAGGTGTGCAATCTTGTTGTGTGTGTGTTGGGGGGGGGGGGGGGGGGGGGGCATGTGCATGTGCATGTGCACGTGTGCATCTGCATGTGTGTATGACATGCGTGCATGTGTTTGTATAGGTGCATGTGGGTCCGGCCAGGGAGGGGACACAAACAGGTATCCCCGTTCAGCCACAACGTAGCCCAGTACCCAATGTCTGGGAAGTTCGTCTTTTCTTATGGCCGGCGCCGCAGACCGTGGTTGCCAGAAAACCTTTACATTTTTCAGCCGAGAAGTGGGCCTGTTTACTTTCACTCCTGAAGTCCCTTCAGCCAGGCAGTATGATTTCTGGCCGCCTGATCCAAGAGAACAGGCAGCTACAATTAAGGTCGCCCACCTGGCAGGTTTTTTTTTTTTTTTTTTTAATAAGAGAAACAGAGCCCCTCGGGCTCTGGTTCCTTCCATTCTGGGGGAGTGTCACTCCCATTCCTACTCCCCCGACAGGTCACGAAGATCACAACATTTATGCACACACTCTGCTCCCCACCCACCTGGCAGTTTTCTTCGGCCCGGCAGGCCTGTTCTTAGCCTCCCTGAATCTGACACCGTACTTGAGCCAGATTCATAATCCGGTAAGCCCAAGACAGGAGTCAATGAATGAAACAAACTGTTTTTCAAGGGTGGAGCATACAGCTTTGCCCTTCCATTTGCGCCCTACGCCCTCAGCAACCGCTCTTTCTTTTTCGCGCCCGAGGGAGGATTCAGGAGCAGCACAGAGTTCAGTCTGACATCCAACCACGACACAAATCAAGGGGGAGTCGTCACAATGTAAATGCATCGAAGGACGCATGATTCTAAGATATCTAGTGTGCGGCAAACAGAGAATCCGCCACAAAATTACTCAACGAGCAACCCTGACGGCACAATTGAAGATCGGAAAGTCAAGAAAAAAAAACACAGAGCCCAGACTTGGTGTGTGGCGAGGCGCCCCCCGCCAACAAACTTTCGTATATTGGTTATTTGCACCTTTTGGTTGTTTATTTTCATGATTGTTCGCCAATTTCTTTGACTAGGATCTTCATTTTGGATTCATTTTTTACATTGACAACATTCTCCATTGACTATGAAAAAAATTCTCGGCTTTTTCGAAGACTCTTAGGAAGAAAAAAGCTACATGACCTGTGCAATTGCTACAGCGTAGCCTCCATTTAATGAATTTTAAAAAAAAAAAAAAAAAAAAAAATGCGATTATTGTCACTTTGCCATATTTGTGTTAACTCAGTCCAAACTACTTTTTTTTTTTGCAAATCCTTTTCATTCGTTTAGGCAAAATCATTTTTGGTTCACCAAACACTTCTACATTTTCTACTCCAAAATTGAATTCCTCTCCAATTTTCCTGTTTTCTTCCAGTTCATGTTTCAAGCAAATGAATCGAGTTTTCAGCCCTGTTTCAACCACCACCATGTTATCTTGTATTTGCTTCACTGAACATTGTAAAACACTCCCACGTAGACGAGTCAAACACAAAGTCTAGATGAGTCAAACAATTGTATGTGTTTATTATTATTTTATTAATATTTCCATCATACATACACGTATAGTCAAACAGAACTGCCCGGTAAACCAACCGTAGGCAGAGAGGGAGGCAGAAGAGGACAACAAACGAGGGGATGTGACAAACTGTTTCGTTGGAGTTTCATCAACTCATCAGGAGGCTGAACCCTCCACAGTCTGCAGAATCCCCTACATGATTACACTGTAAGTGATAATCCAGCTTAACCCAGGGGGTTGCGGTTAAGCATCAATGACTACCCGACAACTGATACCCCTCTGAGGTGGTGGGGACCACCAACCATTGCCTGTGACGAAAATCAAAGCAGATTATCATTCGCCCACACCAGATGCCCCGGTTGTGGTTAAGCATCAAAGACTGCCCGACAACTCATACCCCTCTGAGGTGGTGGGGACCACCAACCACTGCCCTCAAGGTACAGGTGACAAAAATCAAAGCAGGCTATCACTCGCCCACACCCGACGGAAAACTCTACAGACTGCAGGCTCACACCCCATCACAGGCCAGCAAAACACCCACGAAACAAAAAAAAAAGGTCTGTCACAGCCAGAAAATACACTCCAGCCACGCCGCTGGCACTAGAGGCACAGCGTGGCCGCGTAGTAATGCCCCTAACCATTAATTATATGCAACTATCATAATTATACAACATAGAGATTAGATATGAGATCCTTCCGCCAAACGGAAGGAAGCGCGAGTGTGTTTTTTTATGGTGTAGCATTTTATTCTGACTTGCCGGTGGAATAGGAACCGGACTGATGCTCCCCAGAATGGAAATGGAGCCAGGGCCATAAGGACCTGTTTTATGTAAAAAAGAAAAAAGAAAAAAAAAAAAAGAGAAAGAAGATAAGATATGAGATGGGAAAAGGATGTTCACCTGAGGGAGTGGCAACACTGCCAACAAGTCGATAATGAAGCTGCCCTTGAGATAGTGCATTGCAACAGCCCAGCGGTCCGTGACAAGTTCTCCACGTCCAAAGACTCGCGAGCACGGTTTCACATAGGCGATACGGAACTGAAAGAGCATGTGGAAGAAATACCCACAGTCCAGAATAGTTCGGGCGGCGGTCAAAGACCATGCAAACCACTCTTGAGTATAAATACACACGAGGTCCAGATTGACGGCCGGCAAGAGGTAGAAGAATGGATCCAGGTAGACAGACACTAGAGCCAGACAGATGAAGCCACGTGTCCATCTCTGAACCACTTTGCTTGACGGATCGCGGATCCGGAAGATTCCCTTCTCATCCTCGTCGTCAAATCTTGACTGAAATTTCGCTCCGCCCGATTGTCCTGCCGGTTTCAATCGGCAGTATGCGTGGCAGTTGGAATCCCACGGGTCTGTCCCACTCATACTCTTCTTCCTCTTCGTTCCTCCCATTCCCGAGCCATCATCGACCTCCACAGCGGAGGTCCCTCCTCCCAGACACGACTTCGAATTCACTGCCATCGCGCTGAAACTCCTCCCCACGACACCTGTCCTTACGTTCTCCTACGATGGCTACGTAATCAACTTCTAAAACAAGTTTTCAAACCATGTCACAGCAGTCAGTACCAGGTACCTTCACTCCAAACTAGTACAAATCAAAACTCCACTCCAACCGAGTGTGTCCAGTTTAGGTCCTCAGAAGAAGCCTCCATGTACTGAAAATCGAAGAAACATAGAAAAACGAACCGTGCACACGATGATTGTCACCACACCATTGCACCATCTCCATCTCGATTCGATCACAAAGTACAAGGCATATAGCCTGAAAAAATCTGCATCTCTCCTACACACAGCAGGCAGATAGATCCCAATTCTACAAAAAACTATATAATATGAGAACTGTCCCCTCTCAGCTGTGAGGGAGGGTGCAAGCAAACGAACCCTTCTCCTGCCGCTACAAACCTTGCAAGTTATTTTTTCCCCTTCAACAAGATCATAGTAGAACTGCAATCTGCTGTTTGCTACCACGCAGCCTCCCAAACTCTTGTTTCCTCAACGGCCTGGCCATAAAAATAGCCTACCTCCACATGTGCACATATATTGCAGCAGGTCTATTCTCTGGAATCGACCCGATGAGAGAGTACAAATCAGAACAGCCCCCATAGCACCCACAAAACCCCCTTCAGTGCTATGGTTGGCCATATATCAAACCACACACACGAGTCCATGCCAGTGTCCCGTCTTCCCAACCCCGTTTTTTTGCTGCACTGCCTGCGCACCAAAAACAGTGAAGTGGAAGAGACTCAAAAAATATATATTTCTTCTGTCTGGCGGCCCCAGCCTGTTCCTTCCAGTCCGCCCCGGTCGGCAGCTATGTGGCTGGTTTAACTTCGCAATCCGAACAAAATAGCTCCCAAAGGCGCTACTGTTCTTTTTTAATGGTGTGTGTGGACACCCTGCAAACACACACACACACACAGGACAGGAACGCCTGTTGCCCCGTTTATTCCGAGCACTCGCTGCAACTGGAGTTTATTCCGCAAACTCACTGCAAGGCGGCTCGATTCTTTATTCTTTTCTCCCCAAATTGTGCAAAACAAAGACTCCGACACTTCCCATCATCCACAGACGTAAGACGTACAACCTTTGGGCAGTAACTACCAGAAAAAGCGGGACCGCTCCTCATTGGTGTCATCTGATGACGTGTCCTCCTCTGTAGAGCCAAAATCTGTGCAGATCTGAAATTGTGCCGCGCTTCACGATCTCTCCACAACCATAATCAGCGACCCCTATGAGATCATAAAGCCAACCTTTTACATAAGCAGCACTACAAAATAAAAGAGAGTGCAGCCTCTGTCAACTGCACAGACATTCTCGCAGGTTTCAAAACGGGACGAAGTCTAACAGAGTCGAAAAAAATGCCTCCGGACCGATTTGATCATCCAATCGAATGCTCAAAAAAAAAAAAAAAAGGCTCAAAAATATCACTGGATATAAAAAAAAATCAGCATGTTACACTGTCGAATGCTCAAAAAAAAAAAAAAAAAAAATGCTGTTTTGGTGCCAAAAAACCGCATGACACTTCGACAAAGCTCCAGAACCACAGGATAAGCTACTACTCACTGGACTCCCTCACAAGGGACAGTCGAACCTCCCACCAGAAGTCCATGTCCCTCTGTTCTGGCGCCAAAACCCCTCATTACACTTCGACAAAGCACGAATACCACTGGATAAGCTTACTCACCGAACTCACTCACAAGGGACAACCTCCCACCAGAAGTCCATGTCCCTCTGTTTTGGCGCCAAAAMCCCTCATTACACTTCGACAAAGCACGAATACCACTGGATAAGCTTACTCACCGAACTCACTCACAAGGGACAACCGCCCACCAGAAGTCCATGTCCCTGTATATTATTTTATTTATCGATTCATTTATCAATACCTCCACTTCCCACAATTAAGCCGCAATTCTGCATCAGCTGCTGCATCTCAACTCCCCTTTCGCTCTTTTCCCTATTAAAAGTCGAAACACTTTATCATCCAATAAACCCTTAAAGCTCTACGACACCTTTAGAATTATCCTTCCACCTCCTGTGATTCTGCAGGCTGCATATTTTGACCGAAGGTAAGGTTTCCCGCCCACCTTTTTGAGCAAACAGTATTTTTTCCAAATTTGCACTGAAGTCTTTAACTGCCACTTCACTGGATTATAAACCAAGAAACGCCTCAACGAATGTATGTGCACACGCCCATTAGCCCATTAGCGCGTGCACACTGCAGGACAAGTTTGCAATTTGGGAAACTACTATCACCCAGTGCCATAGGGATTCATTGGACGTGGTCTAAGATAAAACCAGTAAGGTCACTGCTTCTCCAATCCATGACCGCTGGGGTCGGCTTGGATTCCTGCCATGGCATTGAAAAAGCCATCAAGGACATCAGATAAGAAAAACACAGCGCTGGGACAAAGAAGAAAAACTGGCAATCCTCCTCCTGCCTCCGGGAGGGGGAAAAAAAAAAAAAAAAAAAAGTTTAAAGAACGCACTACAAGGTGGGAACCATGGATGGACAGGACTTCATGCAATTCACTGCATACAGCAGACGCTCATCACCAGAGAGATGGCTACCACACCCAAGAAAGGCAGCAGGCGCGTAAATTACCTGCAATTCACTGCATAGGGAGGTAATGACAATAAATAACAAAATACTGAACTTGAAAAAAAAACGAGTATAAAATACAGTGAGACAAGATTTGAAATGTTGATATGTACAGATCCACAATTGCATAAGTGGATTATGATGCCATTACGCGGAGGTACTTTCTTTGAGGGCGTACTCACACTAGGACTTTCCTGCATGAATCTGACTGCGATTACGGGCCCAAGCATAGGTGCATCTGACTGTACTTACGTCAAGAGCTGAATAGAAAAGGTCCCTAGTATGACTATGCCCTGAGACAAGATTGAAGTATCAAGATGAGCAGGAACTCATGGCCCATAAGGCCATTACGCGGATGTCTCCCAGGTTCAGACGCCGCGTTGTATTCGAGGTGATTGGCATTTGAGAGACTATATTATATATATCTAACCAGTCCGGCTGTTGTATCCCGAAATCTTCTGCCGCACTCCTTATTACCTCTCCGAGCAACGATTAAGCGTTTCGAGCTATAAGTTCGATTGCTCGTCTCTCAGACTTCAACTAATTCATTTTGGTGCCTCTTGGATCTGTGCCATGCCTATCTACTGATAGGTATCAGAAAGCAGACCAACAAGATAAACAGATGGATTGATGGATTGGTTGGTTGATTGATTCAGCCCTGCATTTTAAAGTGGCACAATCCATTCTTTTTTTTTTTTCTTTTTTTTTTTTTGGCACAATCCATTCTAGATCTAAGTTAACAAATTATTTATTCCATTTGATGCTGAAACTTCGTTGGCGATGCCTTCTCTCACTCTCTTCCGAGTTCAGAAAGGCAGTGCCAACAAAGTTTCAGCATCAAAAGGCCGCGCCAACAAAAGTTTCAGCCTCGGTTGCCAAATACTTTTTGGGAGATTGATGCTTTCTTCATTCTTTCCAACCTTGGTACGAGTCATGTCAACGCTTTCTGCTGAACCAATCAATCAATCAATCAATCAATCAA